GTAGTAGATATATATATATATATATATATATATATATATATATTCGTCAATATTCTTTATAATATACTATGTACATTATATGCATTATACATTATATACAATATATCATATATTAACAATAATACATTATATATTATACAATATATCGTATATTAACAATAACATATTAATATATCTATCATTTTTATGATGGATAATGAGAATCTTAAATTATTAACAATATATGTTGATCATGTGAACACTCCTTAAGAGGTTAACAATCAACGACATCTATCGTAATTTTCACCGAACTTCAGTTCCCATCGACAATGATGGAGAAATATTCTATAACCAAAAAAAAGCAACTGGAATGAAAGCGAACTTTTCCGATGGAAATACAATCTATTTCTGTTTCATAAAATAAACTTTTTCATTTTTCATCAAAAATAAACTTTTGTTCGATACAGTGAATATCAGAAGTGATAGTTTTATGTGGATACCATTCATTACATTTATTTATCATTCATTTATATTTAATTTATTTCTGACTAAAATGCATGCGATAAACCACCATTGCTAAATTATCATAATTTTCAGAACGATACTGGTGCTGTATTCATTAATCAGTAATTACATGTACATAGTCGTCCATTTCATGAAAATTGAGTTCATGGTTCAATGTTAGTCACTGAATAACAATTAGGAGTTTTCATATAATGCTTTCTAGGGGAGCTCATTAGTGAAAATGATTCAAAGTTAACTGTACAACGCGTAGCAATAAAAATTTGCATAGTACTTCTCTCCTCTTCCTTCCCTCTCAAAGCTTTCCTATACCCCTTCCCTTCATTCTATCCTACTTTGTTCTCTCAATCCCCAGTTTCAATAACTGCGAGTAACTGAATCGATATCGTCTTTCTGGAGTTTCTTTTAGGAAATTAATTAAAACGTGGCATTCATTAGAGACGTTCAATTGTCGCGACTGTTCTTCAAAACAAAACTGTTCTTTATTCATAATTTCTTTTTTTATGAGAAATCGAATATGTATTTTTCTCTCGAACTTTTTTTTTACGCTATTCTTTTTTGTGAGTTATTTATCTAAATCATGATTCGCCATCAAAGGTTAGAATCGTCAAATGAATTTTTTTGTTATTTATACTTATTTCACTATTTAAATAAACACAATTTAATAAAAATTCAGCTTCATCAAGTTTATAACTTATTGTTAATATCATTAATATTTAATTTTATTTTTAAAATTATTAGTAATATTTTTTTTTAAATATTTTTTAATATATATTTGATTGTTAATTTAAATGTACTTGCAACGAAAAGGAAACAGTTATAAATAAAATGTTTCAGTTCTCATCGCTTTTTGAAACGCGAAATCATGAATATTCGATCAATGATTGAATTGAATAATAACTTTCTCCCAACAATGTGTAAAAGCAAGATTGTTGATGCATGTAAGTTTAGTTTATTCGGCGTTTATTGTCCGAACAATTTCGATTGATTGCACCGCAAAGTAGCTTTGTAATAAGATAAACGTATCATTGTTTCATTGGCATTGATTGTCGAAATCGTTGACACAAATGGACAAGATTTCAGTAATTGCGGTGCAAATGTAAGAGACAAACGAACGTTTCCTCCCGTGGAAGGGCGACGAATTGCTTTCGGTATAATTTTCTCGCCCCCGCACTTCCCTATTAATTAACATGACGATTTAAATCGTGCATACATCTGTGTCAAATATCAGTATATATATATATATATAAAGTAAAGCACGTAAAATATGGTTACTTTTTCATGAATAGTAATGTCATCGAAAGAGAAATAGATAGAGTTGAACTGTTTTAGCAATTTTTGGATTTTCTTTACAACTTTACAACTAAAATTTTTTTTATATTCAATCATTTTTTACATTCATTCTTAATTTGTTAATGATATGAAATTTTTTTCAAGTGAAAAAATATAATATAAATCAATAAAATATCTTAATCTTATCTATTAAAAAAATAACATATTGAAAAATACGAATAATTATATTAATTATATTGTCAAAATTTTATTTTATAATTTTTACAATTAGTTTATTATTTATAAAAATATTTTGGTTACTTTATTTGTTTCAACTGTTTATTTGTTTCATCCTGAAAACATTTGTACATGTTGAATATATATGTATATACAATTAGATATGTATGATATTCCACAGAATAAATTTCCATTTGATCTCGACAAATTCTATTATTTAATTGAATATTAAGATAGAAAACATTTAACCGTTCATTTATCGTGATTCTTCCGCTACAGAATTCTCTTCTGTTGATTTCAATAATTACGAGAATTCGAGGCTTGTAGCTTTGGCAATTAGTACTTCCCATGCTATCAAGCGATTACAAAATTTACGAGGGACAAATGGGTGAAACTCTCCGACGATATGCAAACGACGGGCTTGTTTAACCTATGTTTTTAGACGTAACTTATTGCTCGAAATTAAACGAGCAATTATTTGCTCGATAACATCTGTAAAATAAAATTATTATTCGTTAAGACACATATTATTAATGCATACCATATTCGAAGTTTGGAATATGATAATTGGATCAAAAATGACCTTGAATAATAAATTATTCAATATCTAAAATGTTCGCAATTAAATTCTTATTGATATTATTCTCTATTGATATTAATTAGAAATATTTGTTTGATTAATTTGATCAATGTATATATATTGAAAAAGCTAAAAACCCATATTTGTTGTTCAATGTTTGTGAGAACAATAACCATCAAGAATTCTGTAACTGTAAAAACATTAGTTCTTCTCATATGGAGGGGAGGTTCCAATCTCGTTGCAATGGCGGGAATGAATTGACCCGTAAATTTCGAACGCGCCATCCACAGGAAAAAAATAGCATTCGAATCTCTATGTGTTAGTAAATGTTCACGATGAAAGAGAGAAAGAGAGAGAGAGAGAGAGAAATGGAAAGAATGTCGACCATCGAATTCATGTTGGCACAGAGAAAATTGATTTGAGCGCGATTTTCTAACGAACGTTCGAATTTGTTTCTATGAAATTGAAAAAAAAAACGTAAACAAAAAAATATTTTTTTTGTGAATTTTATATTAACGACGAAAATTTCTAATTGATAAACTGACTCGAAATATCGATTGATTTTGACTATACAAGATATCTTTCCAATTATGATACATATCATATTATATGCAATCATTTCATTCTATCTTGGTCTTGCTTCATTCAATACAAAATTAAATCGCTTTAAATTTAATGAAATTTCACCGATATTTTTCGTATATATCAATTTTAGATGTAGATATAAAATCGATCTTTCAAAAATTACTTATAAATATATTGACAATTGTTTATATTAATTAAATGCTTAAAAAAATTTCTTGCATTTTCGATTTTTTTATTTATTTTTTTTTATGAGAAATTATTTTATGTCCGGTTATATTATGATTGCAATATATCTCGACGGTAAAATCGTAATTTTTAATTAATGCTATAAAATACAAAATTTCCACCTCGGTTTTAACCATTCTTCATTTTAAATAGAATTTTTTTTCCGTTGAATATTTATCTAATTTCATTTCTCAATGCTCTGATATATAATAATAATAATTAAAACGATACTGATTAAAAATAGAAGATTAACAAGATATTTAATTTAAACTCTTTTCTTATTTTTTTTTGTCTGCAGAATGAAGCTGTGGTGGAGTTTAGCGCTGGTCGGTGTCGCCCTCTTGATGATCATTGTTACCGCCAGAGCGGAATCTGATCTCTGGGAAGAAGACGACAAGGAAGTTCTTGTGCGAACCGTTCGTGGCACTAAAGAACGAGGTATGTATTAAATTTAATTAAGAATCTTTACATAGATTTATATAATAGATAGTATGTGAATAATATGCTTAATTATATATACGAAAAAAATAATTTTCAAAAATTACCATTATTCTCTATTAAGCTTGCATCAAGGATAAAAGTGAAAAATAGTAAATGAAACAGAATGAATAAAATACAATAGTAATACATATAAACATATCATTTTTTAGTAATTGAAATTAATACAAGATTAAATAAATTTATTGTGAAAACACAAGTGATGAGAATGATATGAAAGTAAGATGACAAAAAATCTATAAAACTGTGTTTGTTAACAATGTTCCGTCATTACCAATGTCCTTTCGACGCATTTTCAAGGTTCTATTATTCGTGAGCAAAATGGAGAGGGATATTGTCATGACCTGTTGATATTATCATATAGAACTTTTGGATTTTCCCATTGTTTAGTTCATCGTTCTTATATATATATTCTTTTTGATTATATAAATCTATAATTTATATCGATTAAGCTATTTTGTAACAATATAATCAAAAATTTAAGAAAAAATTATATTTTTTGTATTCTAGTAATACAATTTTTATCATATTATATTAAATTATATTAAATTATTTTGATGCGAATGATAGATCTATTTCGAACTAATTAATTGATGGAAATAGTCTAGATATGTATTGGAAAATTACTGTACTTATAGAGTACAATACAGAATATTAATATAGTTGTGAGACATTCGTGTGATAGAATTATCCTGCTTTATTTTCGTCTCATTTCATCTTTATACATCATTATAATGCAAACTTCAATTGCCTATAACTTAATAAATAAGCCTCAATCAACATTCGTATATATCAACTTTTGCGTTTGTTTTGGTCTTGAGACTCAAGCTTTCAAAGGTATCCCACGAATATATTAATATTCTGTGTATACACACATTATGTTGAAGTAAGGTGAAATTTAGAAAACAGAGATATATAACTTTTGACTAAAAAATTAAGACTATATATAATTTTCAACATTTTTCATATTTTTAGTGATAATATTAAGTGATCAGAATAAATTTAATAATAAATTTTTATTAACTATTATTTTTTTTTAAATATTTAAAGTACATGCACACATACACACATAATTTTAATTAATAATTTATGATTCTTTCTTTTGTCTATAGTATATATTCTTTTCAGTATATTTCATCATATTTTTTATTTTTAAAATAATAATTTTAAAATATCAAAATTAATTAATACGATGATTAGACAAGACCTATATTTTTCTTTCCAACTTTCTATTATAATAGAGAACAAGAAAAAATCATTTTCACTCATTTCTTTACTCTTCATTTTCATTCTTAAAAAAAAAATCTAAAGCAGTCTTCGCTTTGATTTTCAACTACGACGAGATTATCCTACGAGATTTATTTACTTTTACTGTTCTTTGAAAAGTCTTCATTAAAAGTTCCTATTATAGACCGAGTTTTGAAAGATCAACGAAAAGAATTGAAATCTTGGAAGTTCTGGGAAAAGTCCTTGTTAGTTTCGTTGAGAGATGAAGAAACTTAATATATCTGATAAGTGTTTACAAGGTGTTCGAGATGGACTGTTTGTTTCATGGAGAGGTCAATGGTGTGTAGGAGTATCATGGCGTCCATAAGAATCTCTGTGCTTAAAAATCCTCTTTAATTATGCTCCCACACAAAAAGAAGTCACGTTCATTATGTATTCCTTAGAATCTTTTCAGAAGTGTTTTATCTTAAGAAAAGTAGTTAGTGTTTGTTTCCAAGTACATTCTAGGTCAAGTAGTGTTGACTGTTTTTATTAGAATTGGGTCGACGTTATTGAAAATTAGCCATTCAAAGAGTCGTATATAATACAGTATTTGAAAAAGATTTTATTTCTTTTTTTCATTTTTCATCGAGTTGTTGCAACTATAGATAATTTCATATTTAACACCGTCTATTTTTAAATTTGTACGAATTATAATATTAGTTAAATACTTAAGATATTTCAATATTAATTTGAATATTAATTTAAATATTTTTCATTATTTAAGAATTTTAAATATAATTCATATATTTAAATATAAATTTATTTTATTTTTTTCTATATTTTACTTCTAACTAAATCTTTAAATCAATGTAGAGTATATTTCAATCATCAGAATACGATGATTAAATCAAAAATAATCCTCATCCATTAAATCCAAATTTATTTAATTAACATAATCGTCAATCGATAAGTCGACTAATTCAAATCGGATAACAAAGATAAATATCAGATGTTTTTCGTTTTACATTTCATTTGTAAAAAAAAATATACTTATTATTTCTTAGAATTCAACCTTCTCTGAACACTTGATATGATTCTAAATGTTTCACGAGAATTCAATAAACAAAACAGTAATTGTATTTCTCTGAACCACCAAAAATGATCGATTCTTAATTGGCACGAATGAACATAAATAAAAAAAAAAAAAAAGAAAAGAAAAGAAAAGAAAGGAAACAAAAGATAACGTGACACATTGACAAAGTCGATTGAGCGTATATACCAAGAAAAGATTGTCCTTATGGTGGATTGAAACATGGTATCGCGAATCCTGACTTTACTGAAAAGCTTCTTTTGTCTCTCCACGGTTCTTTTTCTCATCTTTCGTCTCCCGCGGCCAGGGAATACAATTGAAATATCATCCAGCGACGCGCACCCGCTTTCATTGTCGACTAAGATCATTTGGTCTTAGAAATTTATTCGGCCCAGGATCGAGCTTCCGGGAGGGGAAAAAGAGGGGTGAAGAAGAGAGGGCTTTTCTTCGAGTTCCTTTTCATGGATGGAACAAGTCGTCGAAAGAAGGCCGCTGCTGAAATTTCAACTTCGAGGATCACGTTGAATTACAGGTCGAGCTACGAAGCTCACGCCATGTTTCTTGGTTACTGTAACTTTCTATTTGCTCGTTTCGTTTCATAGTTATATCCTTTCCTTCCTCTACAGTCTCTGGTCGCTTTGATGGGTGCAAGATTTAACATTATAAAAAATGGTGTGAATAATTTTTAAATTATATTGTTTTTATTTTATGAATCTATAATTAAATTTTTTAAACATTTTTTTTTTAGGTTATAGGTTATACTTTTGTTTTTTCGATGTTTTGAGTTATTTTAGGAGTATAAGATGCAATCTAGAAAAAATAAAATTTTCAACGTGTACTAACGTTTGTATTAACATTTCTTTTTACTTCGACTGTTTATGTATAATTTATAGAAAGATTTTTAAATTTTTCAGATTATTATAATTTTATTTTTATTTTCATGCAAATAATTAAATGTTGTTTTGTTATATGTAGAAAAATTAATCTGAGAAATTAATCATTTTCATAATTTAATATATTCTTATATGTCAAATTGATACAAATTGAGATAAAATCAATGAAACGAAAAGATATATAATTTTAATTATTTTATTGATAATAATAAAAAAAAAATAAAATATTTAAATATTATGGATAGATTAATCGTATTTTTTGGAGATACACATCAGATTTCATGTATCGTTTCGATTTTCTATTTCTAGTTTTGTCTCGTGATACGAGGAAAAACAAAAAGACAATGAACGTCACTCCTTCTCTTCAACTTCATAGGAAATATTAAATATTCAAAGCTATACATGTCTAGCTTCAATCTGAAGTCGACAATGTACGATGAATGTATAATTGTGCAACAATTACAAACCCATGAATTAATATTTTTACATCTTTTTATTTCATCATTAACGATATTAAACGTACAACGTATATTTCTTATTAAATTTGAAAATTTTCATTTTGAAAGAAATATTTTAAAAATATATATCTATGTTATAGTATTTTGATAAAATTAAAGAATTCTAATATTATACAATCACTATTATAATTACAATACTATTTTACAATATGATAATTTTCTATCTTAAAAATTCTTAAAAATGTCTTAATAAATAACGGTATATATATATATAATTATAACTAACTAAACGTGTTAATCCTAGGGCAATATAAAGAGAAAAGAATTTTTCATCGTAATTAAAGGCCGTCCTGCACGTTCGGAAATTTTTTTATCCACTTGATCGGCTGTGCCTTCAATTATCTCTATTGACGTTTTACATCTGTTGACACAGCATCCGGCAGTACTTCGTCGTGCAGATACGTGAAGGGTCAATGGTCGGAGTGCGACTCGAAAACCAACACTCGGTCCCGAACACTGAACCTTAAAAAGGGCGACAAGTCGTGCGAGCAGACCAAGACCATCCAGAAAAAATGCAAAAAAGGTACGTTAACCGGGATCCACACACGCGAATTTTCACTCGAATTTTTACTTTTTTATCTTCGTTCTTGAATTTACTTGGTTGGCAATAAATATTTATCGCGATAAAAATTTCAATTCGTGCTTAATTATCATGCTTTTGCGAAATTCAAATCAATTTTGCTTTTACAAATAATTATGATCAAATGAAATAAAAGAATTGTTATAGAATATTAAATACGTAATATCACATTTTGAGGATTTGTTTTGTATTAAAAAATATATATTTTTAAAATTACAACAACGATGTAAATGTTCGTGTTGCGAAGGACTATTTATAACTAATCCGACAAAACAGTGAGAATATTTAAGAATTTTTAACCATCTTCGTGTTTCATTGATTATAAACAATGTATAATTTGATACGCGCAGTTTAAATCCAAATATGAAGTTGGACAGTCCTTTAGACGAAACGGGAGTTGATACTAATTACTAACGAGAGTCTCAGAAACCTTTTGATTAAATGAAACACTAGAAGAACGCTATCTAGTTTATCTTTGATTTCAGGCAACGGTGCATTGTTTTTATAATACGTTCCTTCAATATCTAAAACTATTAGAAATGAAATTGATCGGAACAAATTATGAATCGATGTTTGCGTATCCATACTCATTCAATTTTTTCGACAAAATTTCGATTCAAAACAAGAGTTAATCAAGTTATGGATTCGTTTAGGTGTAAGTTTCACTCGAACGAAAAAATATGTTATTGATTGTAAACTCGTTGAAGCATCGTAAAGGATGCTCGTATTCAACTATACAAATCGTGGAACTTTTTTTAATTAATAATTGCCATTCCATTTATTCTTTTCAATTCGACGCGACATTTAGATTCGCCGCCATTGCCATGCAGATATTTCTATTCTATGCGTGGGCGTTTGCTCGAAATTCTATTTCAGAATTAATTCTGTTAAATTAAACTCTCATGATTCACGGGTATGTAAGAATTTTATCGATATTCACGAGAGTTTAAACAGAGCATTCTTTAACAACGATATGCAAACATCCTTAAAACGAAGTTGAATGAAAAATTTGTTTTTATATTTTATTTGAACGCATGTATAAATTCATCAAAAAAAAAAAAAGAAAAATCTAATTAGAAAATCAATAGCCGCGTCGTGTCATTTTGTAATGCAAGATGTGCACCGTTGTCGCCTTAACTTGTATCATGAATGAATAATAATGGAGTTTATGATGGTGTGATTATCCCTGCTTGGCGGGGAGTACAGCTTGCCGGTACGAAAAGGGCACGTGGAGCGGATGCGTGAATCAGCTGATGACAAGAGTGGACAATTTAAAAGCGAACAGTGATACTTCATGCGAAAAAACGCGTCGATTGACCAAAAGGTGTAAACCGGAAACCAACACCAAAAAATCACCCAAAGGTATATTTTTATTCTCCTTTTTTTGTTACAATTGGAAAAAAAATTTATTTCGAAAAATAGATAACCTTTTTTCTTCATTTAATGTATAATGCTACGATCTCTATGATGATTTTCATAGAGACTTATTACAGTGGTAATTCACTTTATAATATCTATAATATACAAGTTTTATATCTTAGTTATTCGTAGATATCGATTATATATTATAACATTATATTATTCGTTCTTCAAAATAATTTGAATGTACGCAATATATTCGAATATAATCTATAATGTCTTGGAAAGAAAATAATATAATTAATGCTTCAAATATAAGTTCCATAAATCATATGAATCTTAAATTGGTCTTCATATATCATAGAAATCTTGTTTACTTGCCTGTCAATTAGACTTTATATACTGTACGTTTTGCTTATCTCGGTTCTTAGCTCATATATAATAATAATTAAATAATTCAATCTTGCAAATTATACATTTATTACTAACAATCAATATAACAACAATCAAATTTATTATAATAAAATATATAGATGTATATGTTAAATATATGTAACTGTATATATCTGTTGATCTATAATTTTTATGTAATTATTTTAGGAGAACGAGCAAGCAAGAAGTCGGGTAAACAGTAAACGAGGACAATCGTCGATCAATCACTTAATGGAGTACGCAGCGATCTGTTTCATACAGGCAACGAAAATACTATCTTGTCTTTTTCACGTGAACTCTAATTTTCAAATGAACAGAGAAGGAAATATTGTATTTTAAGTATTGATAATGATTATAATTGAAAAAGAAATTTCATCAAGTATGATCATAAAATCTGACTTTTAAAACGTTTTCGAACGTTGCTGTCAGTACATATTTCATCGATAATAATTATCGATTATACATGTTGGCTATTTTCAGAATTACTTCCATTATATGTGGCCAAATATTAATAATCGCCATACAGATATATTAAAGAGTATAGCTGGATTCAATAACGTTTTCCTTTTTTTACAATTCTGTAATTTTGCTGTGTATCGATTTATTTATGAATATTACTGATCTTATCCTCGATACAGTGACATAATTAAATTATTAAAAATTGTTGATTATTCTTTGATACTATTTTTTTTTCTTTCTTTTATCAAATCTTTAAATAAGTAATCCGATAAATATGACATATAATAAATTGTAAATATAATTGGCAAAATATATGAATTGTTATTTTCTTAAGAAAATAATTTTTTCTTTTTTTGTATGTTTTATAAAGTTACGATTATTATTATTATTATTATTATAAGATGTTACTGTATCGATGATAAAACGTTTCATAACATGATAATTGTATAGTAATACATTGTGGTAAAACCCTTAGTTTCAAGAATCAACACGAAATGACTGCCGTTGAGGTTCTTTATAAAATATATTCTTGCTAGAATATATTTTATCATCGTTACGAATCCATACGAATTTTCAACGTTGTACGATTATCATAGCGTAAATAGAAATTCCCAATTAGAAGTAGTTTATGTTTCTTTTAAAATACGTCGACAGATAAAAAAAAAAAAAAAAAGAAAAAGAAAGACAAGTGGACGATCGTATGGTCTTTATATATAAAATGCCCGTTAACTTTGTCTTCCTCTAAAAAAAATAAAATATATCGTCATTAACGCGAACATTTTGTTCGTTTAATTCGTTAATTTTGCACGCACATTCTTCTGCGTATGATTGTTTTAAGCTGGCTCTCTGTTCGGCTTTCTTTTCTTAATATTTATACTTGAAATCAGGTACAACATTTGTGAACAGAGATTTTATCCTTTCAACATAGGTAAATATACCGTGTTTGATGTTAACTATGTCTTATACATTCAAAAGGTTTCCAAACTTTTCGGACGTTTTCAATCTTATTAGAATGTAATCGAGGTTCCAAGATATAAACTTACTTATGCTAATGATAAAAGTAATAAAGTAATACTTTTTTACGAAAAAGAATATAGTTAAAAGTAAATAAATATTAAATAAATATTTAAATAACTTTTAAAATATCGAATTAATTGGAAAGTTGGTTTGAAAACTGCCGCGTCCTTAAGTTTGGGAATCAATATTTTACGTAATAAGCACGATTAAATAATTATTACCATTTCTCCGATATGTAATAATAATTCTTCTCGACAAGACGTAACCTTCGCATAAAATGAAACGTCAATATATACAGTCTCTTTATATGTGTCTCGTATTATCTCTGAATGAAAAACTTATAATAACGAAAGCCAAATGAGCATAAAAATCAAATTAACATAATAACAAAAGTCTCAGGCTTCTCGTAGATCTGGGGACTAATTAAATTAATTAGAACTCGTCTCTACGAGGTGTTCCATTGAAACTATAGAAATCAAACCTTCCCCTTTCCGAATACAAAATTGTATTTGTTTTTAAGTCTAGATGTATACGAAACAAGAAAAATTCGATAAAGCTAATAAAAGTCAGCTAATTCAGGTAATGATGCCGAGTATATACGGTATATCTGTATAAAAACAAAATATTCAGCGAATACATACGGATCGATGGTATTGATCGGTATCGATGATCGTAGATTAGTCTACATATACCGTGTACGTCATATCATGATTATACATAAAAAGAAAAAAAATGAAAAAAACGAATCTATGATAGAATAAGATAGCATTATCTACATTCTACGGTTTCTTCTAATTAACTATTATTAAACGTCTACTAAAGCGTAATTAAATAATAACATGCTTGAACTCTCTTTGTGTGGAACTTGATGGAAGTTCTTCGTGTTTTAAACGCATTGTAACATAGCATAATAATGATAGAAGGTATGCTAATGATTAGAAGTTAAATTGTTCTTAAATGCGAGTTGAAGTATGGCAGGAGGAAGCCTTAATTGCTTTTTCAAATTTTAATCCATCATTGTACTTGCAACATAATCAAAAGTCTTTCCAAAAATGTTATTGATCTTTTAAGTATACCATTCAAAGTTTTTTAATCATTATGCATCCATGTTGATATATAGATTAAACTCGTTAATGAATTTAAAATCAAATCATAAATGAAGAAGAATTCTGTTCGGTACTTTTCTATAGAATAGTAGCGAACGAATTTATATCAGATCAAAAAAAAAAAATGAAAAATTAGTTAGTTAAGAAGAATTCAAAAAAAAAAAAAAAAGAAATATCTTTAATAGGAAGTTTAAGTTTTAGTTGCCTAGGCAATCAAATCAAATTCATATTTCCTAAATTAAATATCTCGTAGCTCGTGCGAAATCATTGTCAGTAATTTATTTACAAGCTGACGTTATAATTGAACGGAAAAATTGTATAATGTATCTACTTACTTATTAAATAATTGTGTAACCATTACACATGTAATAAAAATCCAATGTTGTCAATAAAAACTAAATATTATATATAAAAATTATTGATATATATTTTTAGTGAACACAAATTAATCAAATTCCTAATTAATAAAAGATACATTAAATGCACATATAATTTATGTAAAGATAAGCATTTTTTATTATATGAAAAACATATAAAAAATACAAAAGTTTGCAGATAATTATAAAATTGCTTTTATAAAAAATACTAAATCTTAAAAAATGGGACGGATTACAGATTTTTATCTTTTAATATAATTACATAGTCTTTCTTTACAAATATTCTATTTTTTTTTTTTTTTATATTGCGTCATGAAATATATTTTTAAATCAACTTATAAAATGTAAAAATTATTACTTATTTTCTTAAAACTATTGTTTAAACAAATATATGATTTATTTATTTAGAAATTGTATTGGAAAAAAGTTAATTTTCATGACACAAACAACTATGATATTTTATATAGATAAACAGAGATTCGTTAAAATTTCTTATTTTAAAATGCATAAAAGGTAATGTATAAAATTACTTTTTAAGGCATACAATTACATTATTTTAAAATAAAACACTGATACATATGTATATTATACATATGTATAGTGTTTAAGTAATTTTTTCAAAACATATTTATGAAAAATAGTTTTTAGATTTGAAATGTTATTATTAAATATAAAGTAAGTAATATATATCTATATGTTAAAATATATTCTAATTTTTAATCTAAATTCTTTGCTATTATTATATATATGCTATAATTAAATGACATATGAAAACATATGGTGATATCTATCTAACTTTATGCCATGGAAATTGAAAGTTTTCGTGAATATGCTTTTTCTTCCCATTCTCGGTCAGATGGCAACGCTGTATGTCGTACCTTACAAATTTGTGAACCATATTTTAATAAGATTATTATTATACAAACAATAAAAAGGGTTAAACAAGTGGTTGCTGGCCAAAAAATGTGCAGTCCCATCTTGGTATGATTTTTAAAAACGTATAGTTTTTGTGCACTTTGTACAGCTATTTTTCAGCTTTGGCTATTATAATAGATCAATTTGTACAGTGTTCTTAATTGAATATCGATTTTTGAATGTTTACTCACTTGTGGTATACATAATATCAAAATTAATATCTAATTAAATTTCACTCTCACGTTTTTGCATCTCCATATATTCTTGTGTTTGTGGTGCGGTTCCATATGGCTTTGGATCGTGATATTGTAAAACCTCTTGTTTCTCTTGTGCCTCAAAAGCACGTCCTGGTTCTAATTCAGTTAAATCCAAAGGTGGTGTTTTATGCGGTAATACTGTCCATAATGGTTGAATCCATCTGTTCCCTAATTAAATAAAAAAATAAACGTTAATAATATTCATTAAAAAATTATTATTGAAAATGAAATATTTTATAATATTGATATTGAAACTCACCAGTATGAGGACTCTGCCAGTAATATCGATGACGCGAACAACAAAATCCAATGTTCAAAATGCACAAAAATGCAAATAGTAGAGAACAGATAGTGACAGTGACATAAAATGGTGTAAAATCACCATATTCATGCTTCACAAAGAAGGGATTCTTCAGATAATCCTCTCGCTCGTCTAAAATGGACATTTTATAAATTTTAAAGATTCCTCTGAAAAAAACAAAGATAATTTTCCCTTCAATGCTCAAACTTCTAACAACAAATTTTTAATAAATTTTTATCAAATAGTTCTATTAATTTAAAAATCGACTGAAGGGAATAAATATATTTTTTTTAAATAATTTCATTTACTAATTAGTATTTTGTTTAAGTATGCAAATAATATCTAATATTTTAATTCAAAAATCCCAGTTTTTAAAAAATGTAAATTTCGCGTCATCTATAGAGAAACGAAGGCGTGGCGTAGTCAATTAAATTAGAATTATTTTAAAATACTTATTCTTTATCACATAAAAATATTGATTATATTATATTTAAAAAATAATCATGAGAAATATAATGTTAAAATATCTTTAAAATATCACAAAATGATTTTGACTAGTAAATGAAATCATGAAATTTCAATTTTAATAAACTAAAGTGTTAATATTATATAATACGTACCTTAGTTTTTTTACTGATGAATTTTATATTGATTGTTAATTAAATTTTTATTATTATAATAAAAATATATATATATAACTTTTGTATTAATTTAACGACGTAATCATCTCGAACATAGACATCACTCGGTACAATAGAAACTGTTACACAAAGTTGTGTTTGGGCGGGGCGTTGTATATAGTAAAAGAAATTAATGCCTTGTGCAGTGTTCACATGTAGCGATGCGATAAAATAGTCATACTTAAATTATATATATTTAAACTGATTTGATATGATTAACTTCGATATAATAATAATATTAATCCTTTGCATAAAAAAGTAGAAAATAAAATATAATATTTTTTTTATATAATAAAAATATGATTATATTCAAAACAAAAATATCCATCAAGATAGAATAAATTTTATTAAGGATTAATATTTGTATGCATGATATGTATAAATACATATAAATTGGTTCAAAAAGTTTATTTTATATTTATTATAATAAATTATTTAATATATATTTAACCTTTTGTAGTTACTATACACATGTTTTCTAATGATACATCAGAAGTAGTATAATAAATAAGATTACTTTGAAATCCAACATTTTTTAAATACTCCAAACGACCCCAATTTAGTATCGATTTTACTTTACGGCCGATATTTTCTTTTTCATTCGAAGTTAAAGTTTTTATATTTGTACTAAAAAATACAATGTGTTCTTTTATTATTTTTCATATCTAAAAAAACAAACAAAAAAAACAAAGAGAAAATATTAAAAATTAAAAATATTATACCTTGTATTTCTAATATTACTTTGAGTTTTTGAAGTTTCAAATTTCTTGTTTAAAACAGAACCACAAGTTGCCCAACTAGCAATGCTACATAAAATTGTAAACTCATTTGGTATAAATCCACATTGTTTTAAAAAATCTTTTCCAACATATGATTTATATTCACATTTGTGATGGCAACAAAATGCAATAATTAACCCAATAACATTACATTTCGGTTCATTTTGCATTGCATGAACTAAACAACTAAGAGTTAAATCTAAATAATATTAATAATTTTAAATCTAAAATAATATTAATAATTTCTTTAATAATAGAATATGAAGAAAAATTATATATATACCTGTAGCTGCACCACACAAATGTTTTGCAATACCAACTTTATTTTTAAATTTTTGAATTGTTGATATAGCATTTAATTTCAAATCAGCAATATCAGTACGTATTCTTTCTATTATGAGAGCAGATTGTTCATTCTTCAATTTATTATCACTCTTATGTCTACAACTTGAACGATCTATTAATAATATGCAACAATCTTTTTTATCTTTTATTATTTGTCCTAACCAATAAGTTAATTTGCCTTTTCCTGCTCCAAATTCAATAAAACAAGTATTATCTTTTATAAGATTTGCACATTCTAAATGTGATAATAATGATGAATTTTGAATGAGATGCTTCTTAACAATTTTTCCACAGGAAACATCATTTATTTTATCTTTAAGTATTTCATGCTCCAATATTATTTCAGGAAATTCTGGTAATTTTTCTATAAAAAAAAAAAAAAAATAAAAAATTATAAATTAAGTTTAAATTTAATTTTAAATATATGAATTTATATTTAAAATTAAAATTACAATAAAAGGTTTTTTAAATAAATTAGAATTACTAACCATAAACATTTTTTATTTTATCTATAACTGTATTTATAATAAGTTCATTTAATTCAGAAAGTGGAACATGTTGTGATGTTTCACATATTTCATTGGAATTAATTCCTTTTACAATAAATAATGGTTGTGCATCAATTAAACGCTTTGCATTACATACTTTTAAATGTTTAGATATCTTAGACTCATAACATGTACTAGAAATAATTTATTAATTATAATGATTAAATTTTATATTCCTATAAAATACTTATAATAAAAGATATAAACTTACTGTGTTGGATCAAGTGGACATTTTATTCGTTTATTTTCAAATTTTTGTTTGTCTAAACAATCTAATGAAATTTCTTGATGTTCACCACAAAACTTGTTTCCTTTCTTCACTGTCATACGACAATAACGTTTCTTTTTTTTTACAAAATACATACAATGATTTTTTTCTGCCATTTTTTTTTAAATTGTTAGATTTTTGATTTATAAATTTAAATATTGAATTACTCTTAAAAATATTTAAAGCAAAATATAATATTTATATATAACCTTACACATCAATGTATTATTTAACACGTTCAACCCGGCGTACTTTTTCGATTTTGTCTATATGATGGACGAGTGCGAGATGAGAAGTTGTTTATTCTTCTGGCGGCACTTATTTTATCCACTGCTTGTTTATGTCATAAGACTTACGCTGGTCCACGCCGCCAGATGAAAACAATGGACCACCGGTAGTACACAAACGTGTTAAATGTGTCAAAAAACTAAAATTTATTTAATTAAACATTTAAATATACATTACTATATTTAATAATTATTAATAATATTCAATATTTAAAAATTTTATTTATTATAAAAAAGTAATTATAATTTAGGTTAGTTTAGATTTTACTTATATGGAACATATATGACGTACATATATGTACCATATATTACATATTTCGATTGAAAGGTATATAGATAAGGAAATGCAGCAAATGCTTGCAGTCACTTTATAACGCTTGTATGAGAAGGACATATTATTTTTTTTAAATACCATATATCTTTTATTTTATTTTTTGATAATATATAAATGATTATTTTTGTTATAGATTTGTTATAGATTTTTTTTACATTTTTTGCATATTAATCAATTAAATTTTGCAGTTTATTATAGAAGAAGGTATTGTTATTGACTTATTGTTTTTATATATAATTTATAATTTTATATTTTTTTTAGAATATCCAAAATATTTTTGTAATTCGATTTTATCAATAGTCGAAAACAAATAATTATTTACCTGCATTTGATAATTTGTATTTACTCTGTGGATAAAATTCATTAAGATCAGTTTTGATTAATACATCTTTTTTTACTAAAAAAATGCTTCATATTTTATTATTTATAATAGATTTTTTATGTATTAATTAATGCATTTAGTAGAAATATTTTATAAATTATTTTGTTCTATTTATTCATAATATGCATGTATCTTCATATTAAATCTTATCCATATAACTAAATATCGCTGAAATATGCACGTAAAATACGCAAGTATATATTATTTTTACTGGAATTATTCAATGTGAGAAATATTTATTATTTGTTATTCTTTATTAATTGTACATTAAAATTAGTTATATTGGTTTTATATTCTATTTATTAATTATTATCTAATAAATGGAATATAAAACCAATATCGCAGTTTAATCTGAGTTATTTTGTAAGTATGCGGCTATATCCTATAGTAAATTTAATACTGCTAAGATTAAATTTGAATGCGTTTTTATTTCTTTTTGTTTTTCTAATTTATTCAGTAGATATAAATATTTGAATATTCTCGAGCATTCTTAACGATTTATTGAGTGTAAAATTATTGTTTATTTAAAATTTTCTTAAATTAAGAGTTTTAATTAAGAACGCGTGTGACATTTAAAATTTAATTGCAATGTTATTCGGATTCATTTTCGTTTATTTGTACCGTTAATGATATTTATGTGGTTAAATGATTAAAAAATGTACGTGTGTGCAATACAAGTGTTTTTAGTTACAGTGATCATCACAATTATGTATTATTTCTAGATCATAACCTCTGTTTATTCATTTTAAAATATATATTTAAAATAATAAACAATTAATTAATATCAAAATTTCGCTTAATTTAAAATTTAATTAAATATTAATAAAATCAAAAAATAAACAATATTTAAAACAATGTCTCAATTAAAATATATAACGATCTACTTTGACGATTGAAGTAAAAGTAGTATATAAGAATGTTTTGCATCATTTATTCAAATTATTTGAATAATTTTTACCAAACATTTTTATCAATGAAAAAAAATTTATAAAAAAATAATTAATATAAAATCTTAACAAATTTAAAAGATATAATGAATTTACACAAATACACACATTCAATGTTCTCATAAAAAAAATTAATTTATTTGTATATATAACATGACATAATAAATAATAAGGATGAGGATGAAAGTTTAAAGTTTGAATTGTTAAAAGTTGAAGAGGACAACTAAAATTATCAGTGATTCATGAAAATATAAATATAATTTTGAACACTTATCACACTACATACATCTACCGATCGAGCAATGTTAAAGATCCAAGAATTGTTCTCTAAAAGGTCAGTCTCTTGCTACAATTTCGTCCTTTTGTTGGTTTATCCGTCATTATTTATAAAACTAATTTATTATTATTTTGTAATCCTTTAAAAAAAATGCCGGATATTGAATGTTGTCAATATGCACACATTTGGATTGCCAGACCGTTTTGGGGACGGAAATGGTATGCAGTTATCGCTTTATTAGGTATCGTGTCAATTATTTTAATTCAACAATTCTTATTCGCATCCTATCTTCCTTTGGATCAGATAAAACATAATACATATTTGGAGGAATTAGATCAAAATGGTATGTAAATCTCTTTTTGTTATAAATCAGTTAGGATATTGTCATAAGAAAAATAAAAAATGTTTTTACTATATCTGAATATATTTGAATAATATATTTGAAATAATTTAAATAATTTTGTTTTCAATTATTAAAAACGCATATTAATTTATCAGTACAAATTGCCTGAACATTTGAATTAGAAATTTTTATTAAAAATATCTTTATCCTTTTTTTTTCTATTTTAAAATTATAAAAATATGTGACGATATCTTTATTGATGTGTGAATATAAGAAATTTTACGATATTATTGATAATAACCTTATCTTTACTGTTACAGTTATGAATAGGTGGTATAATTTTACCGACGGTAAGTGTGGAAAATCAATTATTAATTTATTTTTATGGAAAAATCAATGAGCAATAATTATAAAATATTAAAAAAGTTTCTTGAATTGTTTTGTTATTATTTATTAATTGTATACTAAAAGAAATCTTAATTTTATCAAGGTTAACTCATTTAATTAATTAGGTTATTTAGGTTAATTTTATAATGATTTCGTAATAGGAATAGACATATATATGTATATTACTATTATATATTTGTTATGTTTGTATGTCATGAATATAGAATTTTCAATGTAATAGTATTATTGTGTAATATTAATCTTAAACTAATAACTTACCGATATTATTTATAATTGATATAAATTGATTAATGATTTATGAATTGTAATTTTTGATTTATATCTTAATCATTCAAAATAATCTTTATTGATCATTTATTACTGCCTTTATGACCACGACTATATTATGCAACGTATTGTTTAATCTACACGTGCAAGTTATAATGACACGTATAAAATCATAATAAGAAATATTAATTTACATATATCTAAATACTATTATTATGGACCATCTGTTAATTTTTTCTACATATTTGTAAATGTAATTACTTATTAAAAAATCGGATCAAAATAAATATGTATAAATTGATATTATAAAATAAACTTTAAAGAAGCTATATATAATAAGTATCATTGATTTGTCTAAAAAATCGATAAGTTATTAATTATATATAATTTTTTTTGAATATTTAATAGCAATATTCAATTAGTAATATTAATTATCATTACTATTATATGATTTTAAAACTGAGTGAATTCATACTATTTTTTATTCGAATATTTTAAATGATTTTTTTATAAAGTATTATAAATATGAAATATAGCTTTATGAAATTTTTCGAAAAGAATAAAAACAATTTTTATTGTTCTTTATGGTATTTTCTGATGATATCTAATAAAGCTATGTATATACATATATATACATATATATATATACATATATACATATATATATACCACTTGTAGTTTTCTAATTTAATTAACACATGTTTACATATATATCGTGTTATCTAATCATGTAATATTGCATTTAAATTAACTCTATAAACGATTCATGAAATATTCATAATATGTATTCATACTCTAATTTTAATTGTAAATTGATTTTTTCTAAAAGTTCAATTCTAAGTATTTGCATAATTTTTTTATTGAACTAATTTATATGATTATTGTTAGGCGTTAAATGGTATAATAATAAGATACAATCACCATCGAATCCAACAAATTGGCAGCAATATATAACCGATATTCGACGATATTGGATACTTTGGAAATACAATCCGAATTATTCGTATAATCTTGAAAATCCAGAAATCGATGACCCATCAATGGGTCAAGCGAGTGTTATCCGAAGAATTTTCAAAGATAAGGTATTATCAAAATATCACAATTAATATCTTTCTTTTTACATGAACTTAATTAAATAAGAAATATTGTCAATAGCCTCAAGATATTTAAATCTTTTTTATATTGAACAAGTGATTAATATTATAATATTTAACTTCGTGTAGAAAAATGGTTTCTTCGTGGAATGTGGTGCTTATGATGGAGAAACTCGAAGTAATACTTTGGTATTAGAACGATTCTTTAATTGGACTGGTCTTCTGATAGAAGCAGATCCTATAAATTTTAATAAAATGTTGAAGAAAAATAGAAAAGCTTATTTAACGCCGACATGTCTTGCCATTGAGCCATATCCCTCGGTGGTACGAAAGTTCGTAATTTACTATAAAAATAAATTATATAATAAATAAAATTAAATATGATTTTAAAATATTTTATATCCATTACATATATTTTTTATTTTATTCAATTTTTAGAATTTCTTTTTAATGGCAAACAACGTGGGTCGATTACACGAGCCAAACGCTTCAGACATTCATTTACCAAATTCTGCTGATGTTGTCCACAATGGCGTTCACATTTCAGTTCAATGTTTTCCTTTTATAGATTTAATGTTTGCTCTTAATGTAACTACTGTAAATTATTTCAGCCTTGATATAGAGGGCCATGAGCTTCAGGTGTTAAAAACAATTCCTTTTGACATGATAAATATAGAGGTGAATAGAACAGGTTAATTAGTATTAATTGATACAACAAATTGTAATTTAAAATTAAAAATTGAATTACTTTTCAGACATTTTCGGTGGAATTCTCTCATGTTGAAAATGGTAAGAGAAATTTGATCGATTTCATGGAATCAAAAGGTTATTATATATATTCTTTGGTTGTGAGATCTGACAATTTGGCTCATGATATAATATTTATGAAATATGATTATGAGAAGTCTAATTTGTTAAAATAATTTCGTTCTGATCACGTTTTATTTTGTGTTGCTTGATCTAAAATATTTTGGTACATCATAAATAAAATAATATACTTTAAAGTTTTCTTTCATTGTTGTATTTAAAATTATTATATTTAATTTTATTTAATTATCAACTATATTGTTAAATTATATATCATTATAATTAGAATATATGATATAAAATATATTTATTTCAGTTCTTTATTTTGTTTATTTTGTGTTAATCACCTTTGATTTAACTATTTACAAGTTAATTTAAAAAAATTTGACATTATTAATATTATTTTAACTTTTCTTTATTTTACAAAATATTTACAGGAACGTATATTTTGCATAATAAAAATAATATTTCCTCGTGTATATTTCGTATTGTTAAGCATTAATAAATTTCTAAATAATTGAAATTAACTTATGCAGTTGATTAGGAACAATCAATTGATTCTTATGATAAAAATAAAATACAAATTCTTTTGTATATATGTATAGGAACCGAGAAAAAATGCTATACAATTTTTAATGATTACTGGAATGATTTAATATATAATTAAATCAATTTGCTATTTATTGCTACATTATGAGCAATAAAGTTTTAATAATTATACGCGATTACAGCAAAAATATACATCAATGTATATATTTCTCATTATATTTATTATTAAATAAATTATTTAAAGCTTGTAGACTAGTTTTATCACTTTTCCAGTAGTTTTAATACATGGAAAGTAGCTATACTTTATATATTTTTAAAAAATACTTCTAATTATTTTATAATAATTATTATAATTATATTTAAAGTTGATATAAAATGATGAAATACAGCATTTGATTTAATTATAACAATTATTATAATTATATTTTCAATGAGCGCATAGGAACTCAAGATTTTTATAGAAAATTAATATGTTATTTTAAATATCATTTACATTTGATTATAAAAATTATAACAAGGCTTGAATAAATAATGTCACATAACAAATAATAAAGTAAACAAGTATCCATTTGATTTTTAAAAAATTATCCAATTTCATCTACTTTGTATCTTATCTTTAGTCTTTCATCTACATTTTTTATTCTTCATTATAATACTTATGCGGTAAACATTTATATAATTAGTGATCACAGATTTCAAAATTTTATATAACGATAATTCGATCCTAATGTATTATTCATAATCTTATGTAGATTAATATTTTTGTAAGAAATAAAATAATTTAAGTTATTATTAAAAAATAATTTGCGACTCCTAATTAATTTAAAATTATTCTAATCCATTATCAAAGATATAAATAGTATAATAAAAATAGATATAAATAGTAAAAACAAAGTAAGTATTAAACTGTTATTTAATATTTAAATTAGAATCATCTTTTAATCTTTTTAATATTATATAAGTTTTAACATATAAATATTTTATAAAATACAATCCACATATAAATATGAACAATACCGAATGATATTAAAATATCATGGAATGATTCGAATAATCACAGTCTTAAAAAACTATCCTATCCCATTATTTTAAACGTAACTCTCCTGTTTTTTCCTAACAATATTTCCGCTAATGACTGTCGTCTGAAGTGGTACTTTTGTTTGTTTCTCCGTGGTCGAATTGTTGCATGGCGCCTTAACACTGCTACTCTTATTACTGCTATGTCTTCTCCAGAAATCTGAATGGTTACTACTACAATTGGTTGAGCCAGTAGTATAAGTACCAGTTTTGTCCGACGTTTTCTTCTTCTTTCTTCTGTTAGGACCCAAACCGCATAATTTAAGGAATCCTTCCCTGAATTTCGTTGACATTAAATTGTAGAGAATAGGATTAATGGCGGAGTTCAAGTATAACATCACTCGGCAGAAATAGAGCAGAGTGAAGTAACGCTCGATACCAAAATCGAGAATCACCTTAATCGGAACAACTAAGATCCAAAGCGTCAATGCTCGAAATGGTAATAGACACAGGAAGAAACAGAGTACCACTGTTCCTAGCATGAGCATTACCTGCTTGCGATATTTGAGCAAGTTGTTCGACGAGCCACGGCTAATTGTTGGGTTCGTCATCAGATGGCGTGCTATAACCGTGTATAGAACAACCAAAATTAAGAATGGTATTACAAAGAAGATGATTATTGTAAATAAGACGAAACTGATTGTCCAATATGTGTTTGCTTTCGTGTAACAGGTCGGAATGTAAGTACCATCTTTATTCTCTTCCTCGTATGTAGCCATCAGTAGGATAGGGCTGTGAACAGACATTATTTTAATTAATTAGTTATTTAATGTGTAGAAATTAAATATGTAGAAATCTACAATTCAATATACAATATATTATACTTCAATTTTCGCGCGACTGAAACGAATAGAAAATTGCATTCCAGCCAATAAAAAAGCCACTAAGATTTAGCTTCAAGATGAATCAATGCGCATCATATTGCGCATATTATCATTAGTTTACAATTAGAAATCGCGGTAAGAGAATGCATTTCACTGACAGAAATATACAGAATTATATAAAATTTGTATTAATAGGATATTGTGTTACAATTATTAAGCTTAATTATAATTTATTAAAATTATTAAGCCTTATTTAATCAATATACGTTTGTTTAATTATTATTATATCAGAATTGAATGTTTTTATGACATATTATCGTTTGATTGGAGATGGAATAAATTTTAAATGTATAAATTTTGCACATATAATGATAATTGAGAGATAATCCAACAACATTCGTACAGATATGGTAAGATTTTATTTATATTAACAAAAATGTATTTTTTATAAATTTCTTTTACTTATATATAAATGGAAGTAATTAAATCGTAATCAATTCATATATATTTTCTCATGTATTGTTTTTCTAATCAAATTATATTCAGCTCGTATACTATTTTTATATTTATTTTGATTTTATGCTCAAAACTTCATGATTGAAAACATCTCTTATAATTCAGCCTTTACAAATTGATTTTGCGTTCGACAAGTTTCGACCTGTCGAATTGTTGAGCATATCCTCTTTCCAATTCGATACATCGAAATCGATAAAGTATCATTCTGTTGTTGAAAATCATGATAATTAGACGCTTTATTTCAAATGATTAATTTATTGTTATAATTATAATATTACAGTTATAATTATTATAATATTTATTTAACAATTATTCTTTTACTATTATACTACTAAATGTATTATTTTATTAATACGTTCGATTATTTATATTATTATAATTATTAATTATTTAAAGAATAATTATTTTTTTTTTTGCCTATTTGATTATTAGAATTATTATATTTAACTTGTAAATATTATGAGTTTTTAAAATAAGATTTGTTTTAGGTTTATTATATAATATTATTATTTTATTATTTATTATATTATTTTAATCTTATATTTTATACATTTTATACATTTATTTTAAAGTCTTTTAAGCTTTTAAACTTGAATTTACAATATTTGTTTTAATATTATTAATTTTATTTTTTGAGTGTGAAACATTAACATTGGATTATGGATTATTCAAAAATTCATGATTTTTAATTATAACATAAATTTATTAAATGATCCATTATAGACAATTATAAGTTTAAAATAATTTCAATAAAAGAAAGATAAATCTATTATATATTTCATTTGTGACATGATATTATCGATTTAAAAATGGAATAAGACAATGAATGTTACTAGGATGAGAGGAATTATAATTAAATATATTCATATAATATTATCGATTCAAAATGAAATGAGAGAATAGTGTTATTGGAATAAAAAATTGTAATTAAATAGTTATTAAAAGTCAATTGCATGTCAATTTTAATTATATGTTACAATTATAACTATCGGCACATATTATTGTTATTTATAATATCTATAACATCATATTATTATATTTAATTACAATTCTTTCTATCTAATGCTCTCCTTTCTGAATTGATAATTTGCATGTAGCATGATGTTATGTAGAATTACTTAGCTGCTAGATTAGAAAATATAAAAATTCATAAAATGAATAAGAATAATTCTATTATGTAAATATTTTATTGTGCCTATATCACATTTGTGAATTCATATCCAGTTATTACTTCTAATGTTTTATTTCAATTCTAAATCGGTAATATTAAGAATGATAAGAGGACTTTAATATTATAGAAGATGTAAGAAAATACATTGAATATAACTATATATGAGAGAGACTTTGGAGAGTCAATATTAGTGATATCAAACAAACATAAAAGTTGTATATAAAAATATTGGTTGAGATTTATTTATTGAATTATAAATAATTAAAGTTTGCATTGGATGAATTGAAATAGAAAGAGCGAGACTGTGTTCCCTATACTATTGTTGAATTTTTTCTCTCTGCCTTGTTTCATCCAAACTTCAATTGTTTATAATTTACTAAAAATAAACTTCATTGATAATATTTTTATATATCAATTTTGTATTTGTTTTTTAAAATCTATTTTTTTAAAGAAGAATAGATATATTAATATCCTGTATATATTCTTTATCATCAAGGTTTGATTACTATTTATATATATGTGCATCTATATATATAAGAAATAACTTTACTATAAGAAATGACATCACACAAAATTTTCTTCTTGTTCACTAATGTACATTTTCTTTGTTCCAGTCACGCTGTTTCTCATTTCTTTACTTTTGCATTTCTTTATTTTACATAATTTAAAAAATTGTTTTCTAAACTTACTGCTCATTAAATTATATAATATAGGATCAATAGCACTATGTAAGTAAATCATAATCCTACTCATGTTAAGAAGTACGAAAAATGTATCTCGATTAATGGTGGCAATTTTCTCAGCTGGAGAAACAACAATATAAAAAATCAGAATCCTATAAGGCGATAAACAGATGAAGAAGCTAATAACTACCGTTAATAGCATAATAATTACATGTTTTTTCGTTTTAACATGATAGGAATCGTTGATATTATTGGAATCGGGCATCAATTGTCTGATGATGAATGTGTACAAAATCAACAGGATTATTAATGGTGCAAGATAGAACAGAAGCACCAAGAGTAAAAAGAATATCATGCTGGCGTTAGTATCGACCGTTGTTAGACAAACCGGAACCAAATTCCTTGCGTCTTGATCCTTCCTGCTTTCCTTAATGCGCATCTCTTGGTATTGAGAAACCCAGATTATAGGACTGTAATCAATTAAAGTAAAACTGTCTCGTAACTGATAAAATTAAAATGTAATTTTCGATGCCTTTAAGCCGAAAATCAGAAGTTGAACAAAAAAGATGGCGATTTGCAAAGTAAGCAATTTTTAGCCCCTATACCAACTGAAAAAAAAAAAAAATTTGCTTTGTAAGCTCGGTGAAGATTCTAATTCTTATTCGATTGAAATTTTAATTATAAATAAGATATGTACATATACGTATATATGTAGCCTTTCATATAAGGCTTCTTTTTTTATGAAAAAGAAACTTTTCAATATCATAACATGTGATATTCAATTCAATGTAGAATAACATTATAAGATTAATAATTAAAACTAAAGAATATAAACAGAATAAAAAGATGAAAAATATTTGGAGCAAATTTATCTACTAATGATCTGATAGATTACAAAAAAATAAAAACATTTTAGAGCAAATTTCAACTCAATTTCAATTGGAAAAAGAATTACAGTAAAAATTCTGAAAAAATTCTTATTATAAAATCAATAATGTGTGAAAAATTTATATATATATATATATATATATAATAAAATTCTTTTTCTGCCCAAAAGAATCCATTTTTAATATTTTGAACTATGATATGATGTATTATAAAAAAATTTGAAAAAATTAAAGAATAATAATTATGTCAATGCATTAATATTATAAAAACAGAAAAGAATAACTCTCGAGAGTTTTACTTTTAAATTTTGTATTTTGCACTCTAAAAAATATTTAAAAACTTTTCCAAATTTTGTATTCAGAACACGTATAAAAAGTCTATTCTGTATTTCTATGCTTAAACAATTCAAAGTGGAATTGAATGCAATATTGTCTGGTCCACATTTTTGTTTTTAGACAATCAAAAATAATAATCAAAGTTAATTAAAAATTATTTATTCCTTTCGTAATCTCTGAATTGAAATTATTGAATTGATGTCTTGCATCCATGACACATTCTAGAATTCATTTTTCGAATTGTGGAGTAAGAGAATTATATTGTAATGATAAAGATTAATACATAATGGACAACGATCAACGAGAATTTTATTGTTAGAGCGAAATTGGGTTAACTGTATATTGAAGAGAATATTTTGCATAAAGACATATATTATAATTAGCTGGATTAATAATTAAATCAATGTGCCTCTCTTTATATATATATATATATAAAATGTTCTATTCAAATTGATTTATTAATGATCTGCCAAACCATTGAAGATAAAAATTAAAATTGTAATATTTTCAATGTTCTATTCAAATTGATTTATTAATATCTGCTAAACTATTGAGAATAAAAATTAAAATTGTAATATTTTCAAAAGACATAATATAATTTGACATAAAAAATATATTATTTAATTTAAAAAAAAAAAGAAGCAAATCTTTATATCATTCATATATCCACCTATATAAAAAAATTAATTATGTCAAATTGTATATTTTGAAAATATTTAATTTTTATTTTTATTACCAATGAATAGATAGATATTTGAGTGTATTAATTTAAATAGGATATATATTGTATTTATTTGAAATACATTTATTATTTATTTATTTTTATAATTTTTATCTAATTAATAATTTTGTATTTCTTTTTTTCTTTGATTTTATAAAAGATTCTTATTTTTTAAAAAAAGAAAAAATCTTTTTATTGTTATTTTATTTCAAGTTTGAATATAGAAATAAAGTAAAGTTTGAAAGATGATCATTTAATATGATCAAATTCATTTCATTTAAATAAAATCTCTATTACAATTATAATCTATATATTACAATCTTATATAAATTTATATTTATTAATTTATTTCAATGAACTTATATTAAAAAGTTATTTGATAATAATTTACTTTTACTTAGTAAAAAGTACAATTACTATTCATATGCAATTTGTAAAATAAAGATAATAAAATATTAAATTTAATAGTTCATTATAAAAAATTATTATTTGTTATTTTATTTTGAATAAAATATGCACAAATCTGCATTATAATTTATTATTAAATGATAATATGATACATCCACGAAAACATTTCTCATCATATTCTGCTGT